CTCACCAAAATCCCAATGACATTCCTTAGAAAATTAGAAAGAAAAAACAATCACCAAAATGCTGTGGAAGCAGTAAAGATCCCAGACAGAGCAATCCCACCTAAGCAGACCAGCAAAGGGCCAAAGACCATATTCTCTCTCACACATGGTCCCTGGATTTTAAAATGTTCAAGGGAGAGTTAGATACAAGCTTAAAAAAAGGGGGGGGGGGAGTAACAGAATACAGAATGCATGACATGAAAGCTGAGCAGGTCCACAGGGACAATAGCAGGGATGGGGAGACAGAGATCAACAAACTGGCCATGCATGAAAAGCCCACAATAAAACCCATTACTCATTTTAAAAGGAAAGTAAAAAAGGAAGTTCTATTCTGGTAGCCAATACTTAATCCATCATATGTGATGGTTTATATATGCTCCCCCCAGGGAGAGACACTTTTTGGAAGGTGTGGCCTTGTTGAAGTAGGTGTGTTACTGTGGGTGTGAGCCTTAAGACCCTCGTCTAGCTTCTAGCTGCCTGAAAGCCAGTATTCTGCTGCTAGCAGTCTTCAGATGAAGATGTAGAACTCTGAGCTCCTCCTGCACCATGGCTGCCTGGACACTGCCATGTTCCCACTTTGATAATAGACTGAACCTCTGAACCTGTAAGCCAGCCCCAATTAAATGTTATCCTGGTAAGAGTTGACTTGGTCATGGTGTCTGTTCACAGCAGTAAAACCCTGACCAAGACAATGTACAATAACCTTGTCAACTACCACCATTCTAACATTAGGCAATCTGCCAAACGCCGAACTTGGCTGTATGGATTATTTACAGGTGATTCTTTCCACTGTAGTTGGTTCTGTTAGGTCAAAACAACTCTTTTTCTTTGAATTCTACAAAACTTAAGTCTTTTTGCAAATGTAAACAATTAGAAAGAGAAAACATGCTTCCCTAGCAGTTGTTATTTTGTAAAATTCCTAGGTGATACTGTCGCATCACCATAGTTTCAGGTAAACCCTGTGAGAACACCAGCATACCTGAGGAAACTCCACATTACCTAAATAAATGACGACAAAAGCGGTCCATGTTCTGACAGACTTAACACCAACCATTAACACTGCAGTTCACTTGGATGCCTGCACCAAGTGCTGACGAACCTGAGTGTTTGTGACTCAGCCCGTGTTCAGATGAGGCGAGAAAGCATGAAGCAAGATGGATGTGATGTTGTACTTAACCCACTTCTAGACCGAGCGCAATTACTGACTACTAGTCAAGCCTCAGACAAGTTCCTGAACCTCCTTTAGCATCAGTTCAGACTCCTACTTGACAAGAGTAGCATGAATGTCAGATCACACCACAAACCAACGAAGACGGAAGTGAATGACCCCCTCCACTAGTGGTTGGTGTTTACATTTTAGTTACAGTCCACTCTTTTGTGGATATTCCTGTAGACGGCTCGGCTGTGCATGTCACACACATATGTATCGAAGTTGGAAGCTGACAACACCTGGTGTCTTCTTCACACTCTTCACCTCATTTTCTGAGATGGAATCCCTCATTAAACACGGAGAGGTCAGGAGATTGGGTAAGGTTACCCACCTGTCTCAGCACTCCCACCACTACCCCAGCACTGGGACCAAAAATGTGCACTACTGCAGCTGACTTTGCAACAAGGGTGCTGTTAAACTAGGGTCTGATGCTTGCCAGGCAAACTATAGACTATCCATCTCCATCATTTACTCTCTAAAAGCAAATTAGTGGATTGGGCATGGTGGCGTTCACATTTAATTCTAGTACTCGGGAGGCAGAAGCAGGAGATCTTTTTGAGTTAGGCCAGCCAGATCCACATGAGTTCCAGGCTAGCTAGAGGCACTTACATAGCGGAAATTTGTATCTTAAAAGAAAAAGTAAAAATAAATTAGTGAAACACGTGACACCTCCTTTTTTCAAGACAGTACCTTGAAATGAAGCCCTATCCCCTTATTCAAATGGAGGAGGGGCTGAGTTAACATGACATCTAAAGATAACAAGAGTACTCACTGTACCTGAGTTCACATGGATGCTTTCCCAAGTGAATTCTCACTCAAGTCAACAGCATCCCAAATAACTTCAAGGAGAAAAAAAAGGCAGAAAGGCTTGTCTTAATGTTGGTCTCCCAAACCCAGCAGATACCCAAGATGATCTTCACTGAAAACAAAATTCAAAGCTGATTCTAGCACTTGCCTAGCCCACTGAGGCCCTGGATTAGACCCCAACAGAGACAGTAGTCAAAACAAATTCACACCACTTACATTTGCAGCATTTCAGCTGAGGTGGAACTGAACCTTGAATCCTCCTAGACCCTCTTAGGGCCAGCTGTGGGAGCTCTGACTGCAGCTCTGCTGACTTCCCTCAGCATATAACTCTAAGATCTCCCGAGCCTTCTCACAACTGGAGGAAACAAGCTAGCACTGTCAAGGACGGACTGAGGAGAGAAGCTGAGGTTCTGCTGTTCTGTATTTAGTTTTCTTTTCTTTTTTCTTTTTTTGGTTTTTCGAGACAAGGTTTCTCTGTGGAGCCCTGGTTGTCCTGGAACTCACTCTGTAGACCAGGCTGGCCTCGAACTCAGAAATCCGCCTGCCTCTGCCTCCCAAGTGCTGGGATTAAAGGCGTGCGCTACCACCGCCCAGCTTTAGTTTTCATTTTTAAAAAATGTAGAAAAAAAAAAAAAACCTATGCTGAAAAGATGAACACTCAATGATCTGGTTCAATACCCCAGAACAGGAAGAATCTGCAAAGTACTGTCCTTATTACACCTTTCAAGACTTTTATAGGCAGCACCCAACAAAGGAACTTTTGCTTTTTCTCAGACTCTGTCCACCGGCAAATCTCCAGTGAGAACTACTTTCATTTCACTTTCTAGGGCACAGCAACACCCTCAAGGCTTCTGGCCTTAAACAAGCCTATGAAAGAGCAGATGGAGTCCCCAAATGCGAAACACACATCATGAACTCTTTTCGTTGGTATGCCTATGAACCGGGAAGTGTTTTGTTTTTAATTCTTTGACAATTTTATACTTGGATATTATACGTCTCAATCAACTATACCGACAGTGTTGAGAAGTAGGTGTTGGGAGCAACCTTGCTTATACACTGAAGGCCTAAATCAGTCATAGGCCTGGGTCGGCCATGAATGCCTACTAACACAGGGTTTTGGTCTGTATGGAAAGCACTGGCCCTAGAACAGATAGCTGTGGATCTTGTGGACAGGTGGACTTGGAAAACTACCAGCCTGGATGAAAACAAGTAATCATAAATCTTGTGGAGAGGTAGCCTTGGTGGAAAGTACCAGCTTAAATAAGAACAAATGAATCATAGACAGAGCCATAGTGACCTGTTCCCTGTTTCTTCACCCAGCCAACACTCTGTTCTGGAAGATATCTGTACTCACCCTGAGAACACCTATGCTCCTGCATCACCCCCCTCCCCACATCCTGCCTTTATGTGTATATAACCCCTGTGTGAAAAAAATAAAATAACAGTTTGATCAGACTAGACAAGCTGTCATTCTTCGAGTATCCCTGACCTCTAGTTCTCTCTTCCAGGTCTTCTGATCCCAGTTCAATGCCCTGTGGGACTGGGGGAAGTAGGTGCTTATTTCTTATGCCTGAAGAAGTCATATTCGCAAGCTAATGCATGCTCAGCATTTCTTAGGAAAGGGAACTAGAAATCCCTTGACAAAATGCATGCACAACACTGTGGAATCAAACAAATGTCTAACCTCTGAAGTCAATGAAATTTTAAACAACAGTAATTATTTGAAAATAGGTTTGTAAGAAGAGATGGGGTGCTAACACTCTATACCTAATATTCTTAACTTCTTTTAGGTGGCAAAATCTAATCTGATCTTACAACGGTGGTCTTTCACTTGTCTCCAACTCACTGCATAGTATTTGTGGTTTTTATTTCTGTCATTTGAGGCAGGAGTTGGCTTACCATTTATATCATGCCAATGAGTAGAGCCACTACAAAAATGATCACATCACTGGATTCAGCAAAACCAGGAAGACAGTAAGAAAGGAAAGGTTTATTCCATCTCGGAAAGGCACACTTAACCCAACTTTCAATTGTCTGTTTTTAGGTCATTTCTTTAGGTGAGTATTACATTATGTCCTCATCTGAATGTGAGATGAGTCTGGTTAAATCAGCCATTACTGAAGGCACTCCTGTTTCACAAGACCATGACCAAGAAACCTATTCTCTTGAGCTTCACTGAGGCAACTAAAGGACTCAAACATATCCTGTGACCGCCTAGGAGTAACTTTACAGACTGCTTACAGTGGCAAAGGGAGGAAGGCCTTCAACAGTACCTTACATTCCCAAGTCATTGTTGAGTGGTATATCCATGATGTAGGAATGCAGTCACTACTGTATAGCAACTACAGGTCTAGGATACACTTGTCGTTTTAAATACACAACTGCCAGGCCTGGTGACATGCTTGCATACATGTGATCCCAGCAGGTTGGAGGTTGAGTCAGACTTTCTAGGCCACCTCAGACTACACAGTGAGACAATGTTTCAGAAAAAAAGGTCCCTAATTCTATTTTAAATGGAATTTAAATTATATCATATATATAAATTATATTACACATAAATAAAATACTAAATTATAAAGTACAGGTTCAAGACAGAGCACAGCAGCTGGCTAACTAGACCCTAGCATCAGATACCTCTGTTCAGCTACTTGGCTCATAGCAGATCAAGACCTGGAGGTTTAGGTTTCACTGTGCTTAACTCTCCCCACTGTTGTTTCCCACCATGCAGCTGGCTCCCATTAAAGCAGAGAATGACCACAACCAAAGACTTTAAGAGCTGAAGTACACACCTAGCACACCATCTAGACCAGCAAAGAATGGATAGGGGGGTTGGGGGTGACCACCAACAGTTACTAGGCTTTAAGTGCAGATATGATAAAAAAGCTTCGGCTTAAGAGGTAGTCTTAGTGCTAGTTATCTGAAAACAGGCTTAAGCATTGCTTACTTGTGAGATGTCCTCTTCTTCATCATGTTTGCAGATACTCCAGCATGGCCTGTGAGAGAGTCAAGTTATAGTCAGCAAACAGTGGGTTAAAAACAAAATCCTGCTTCATAAAGCCTGAAACTGATCATTTACCACCAACATGTTAGAGCTACAATGTTTATTGACTTCTGAAAAAGACATACTTTGAGCAGACAAAATGACCAGTGATTCTTCACTCCCAGATTAGCCATAAAAACAAAACCAGTTACATGTATAAAATTAATGTTTACTCCTGACCGTACATCAATAAATGGTACAGAACACAACTCTTCTTCCCCCTCATAATCCAGAAAACATAGGAACCATCTGGTTTGAGACACCAGGCAGCAAAGGCGTACAGGAGCTGACAGCAGACCAATAAACGAGGTGGCCACCACTGACCAGGAATCCATTTCTGAAAGCCTTTTTTGGATCACAGTATTTGAAGTGGGCATGACCTTGCCAAGCAGAGAGCCACACTGGAGTTAAGGAGGACTGTTTGTTATTAGCATGTAGCAGTATAGTGAATTCAAGGAGAGATACTCAGAAGAGAACTCCCAAGCTTAGTGCACTGGGGCCCAACAGGGGTTCACACTCTGGCTAAACAGGAATCTGAACATGAATAAATTCTGAAAAATCACAAATCCAAAACATTGTTCAAGGTCCATCTAGTCACTTCTTAGACTCGTAATCAGAAACAAAACAAAATTAAAAAAAAAAAAGACTCCTCAAGAACTCAACAGCCTACATAGAATACCAAATCCACTCTTAGCACCAGCCTACAGAAAACAGAGTACCAAATCACCCTCAGCATCTGCTTGACAAACTTCAACGTCCTCTAAAATGTCCAACTACCTTTATTAAAAATTTTTAGACAAGAAAGGCCTAGGTGTCTAACTTACTGCTAAAGCATTTGCTAGAATACACAAGACCCTTAGTTTGACAGTCAAAACACACACACACACACAGACACACACAGAGAGAAAGAGAGAGAGAGAGACAGACAGACAGACAGACAGACAGAGTATCTTTAGTGGATACAAACAGTCCAGCTGTACCAGAGAGAGAGAGAGAGAGGGGGAGGGAGGGGGGGAGGGAGGGAGGGAGAGAGGGTGAGAGGGAGGGTGAGAGGGAGGGAAGGAGGGAGCAAGCTGACAGACTGACAGAGATTTAAATTCAGGACAAATGTCTCCCATGGATCACAAAAGATACTTCAAAATGGTATAGTTAGCCAGGAAGTGGTGGCGTACACCTTTAATCCCAGCACTTGGGAGGCAGAGGCAGGTGGATTTCTGAGTTCGAGGCCAGCCTGGTCTACAAAGTGAGTTCCAGGACAGCCAGGGCTACACAGAGAAACCCTGTCTCAAAAAAAAAACAAATCAAAAACAAAAAAACAAAAAAAAATGGTATAGTTAATTAATCAAAAAGCCACAATAACCTTAAATACACATAAGCCTAATTACAGAGTCCTGAAATCAAAAAAAAAAAAAAAAAAAAAAAAAAAAACCGGAGGGGAAAAAAAACCACATCTGTCTCATGTATATTTAGTTATATAAACTCTCCTCTTGGCAAGGGGTGTAAACAGGAAGCAGAAAACCATGTCACAGACACCTGAGCACCACTACAGACAACTTGAAAGCCATGTCATATACACTTCCTCTGGACCCCAGGTTAGCACTCACCCAGATATACTAGCTATATGCTGACTCACACCATGAATCTAATATCCTTAAAATATCCTGAAATCATACAAAATATATTTGCTTACCTAGGTCAGCATTAAACTAGGCATAATGACAGAAAAAGTTCTCTGAGCTTTTTCTGAATTCACAGTATAAGATATAGTTACAATGAAAATGGCAAAAATTAAAAAAGATATATATCCAAGCTTAAACACTGCAGAGCAAGCAGCACTTTCACTCATCGGGTGTGCACATTAAATGGCCAAGTATGAAGCCGGCTTTAACACAGGGCAGACAAATGGCTTTCTGGGAAGCAAGAGGGCTAAGACGGGAAGGCTTCTTCACTATGTACAAACTCCCTTCTCTTTGGCCTTATATGAATTGGTGGTATCTATACAACTTCAATACTAAAGGTACTGTACAACCTGTACACTTTTCAGTCAGAGACAAAGATGGCATGTTAGTACCTGGATCCACTGAGGGAAAAACAAAGGATAGTTAGTTAGTGTATAGCAGCCACAGGAAGGCCTGAAGTGAGAGCATCCATCCCTCAAGTGTTCTCAAACACCTTTGACAAGGTGCAGAGAAAGGAGTCACTCAAGGCATGCTAGAACTGTATATACTATACCAGGTGTGTCCACCCTCTCTCCCATCCCATAGTATCCTAATCCTTACAACCCACCTCCACACCCACACTCCTACTCTGGGCACACAGTATGCTGGCTTATGGAAACTGGCACCTCAGATGTCAGGCCAGGCCACTGTCTCTGTCCCTAGAAGCAAAGCTTCACAGTGCACTACAGATCATGTCCCAGTGCTGACTTTCCTACTAAGAACCTACTTTACTAAGTAAGTAACAGTAACATAACAGTAAGCATAAATGCCAAAATAACCAACCAATCCTAAGTGTGAACACATAACTGAGGCCGCACAGTGAGATGGGGTGGGCACTGGAGCCAAGCAGCATGACTTCTTGAGATGACCTGAAAACAGAAGTGCAGTCAAGGGACTTGTGAGACAGAGGCCATCCAAAGAGTCCACAAACCATAACCAAGACAATCTCCCAATTTCTGGCCCAATCTGTATAGAGTTTAAGTTGTTCTTGCTCCTCTGTCCTTATCACAAGTAAAACACTATGAATCTCAACCACGCTTGAGTCAGAGAATGGAAAGTCCCAGGACAAGCAACAGTTTCTATGTTAGAGAGGAAAGGATGGTAACCTAGACAGTCAGAGCCTACACAGGAAGCTGTGCAGGAAGAACTTCCACTGGTGCTGCTGGAGTTAGTAGCGCCCAGGCAGCCAGTGAGATTGAGGGCACACTCTTAAAGGGGCCCACACTTAAGTGTATCTGTAAAGGCTGAAAATCTGACCAAGCTGTCCTGTGCCCTAGGGTAGGGTGGCTGAGACTCACAGGTGCCATTCATGCCCTGAAGTATAGCTTTACCAAGAGGTTAAGCTAATCACAGAACCAGAGAATGAGCTAATAGAGAGTGAGTGACACAAAAAACCAGGCTGGTAGGCAACAAAACGAAATCATTATAAACAAAGAAAGAAGCCAGGCACGGATGCAGCACACCTACAATCCCAGAAGTGGGGAGCAGGAGGACCAAACCTAAGTTCAAGGCCAGCACTTGCTAGGTCTGAGGCTCCCCAGGGTGAGACTCCTGTCTACAAACGCTAGACTTCTTTAAATTGTAAATGCTCTGCTTGCCGGCTGTGGTGCCTATGGGCAAGAGAACAAGGAGAGAGGCCAGCCTGGGCAACAAGGTCTGAGACACTAACAACCTCACTTAAACCCTATCACAGACTTTTTTCAAATGTTCAAATGCCACAATTAAGTACTCAAGAGTATTATCTGTCAGCACAGCATGTGCAACATGCCTGCGATCCCAAAGCAGGAGGATCAGCATGGTCAAGATCCTGTGGCCAAAAAAAAAAAGGAAGGAAAAGGCAGGCAGGTTAGCTGGCTCGTTTGCTAATTTTATAAAACATTCCATATGGTCTTTTGGGGGGAGAGGGGGAGTATTAAAGTGTGGGGGGTTTTTAAAGCAGTTGGTGGTGGCACATGTCTTTAACAATCCCAGCACTGGAGAGGCAGAGTTCAAGCCCAGCCTGGTTTACAGAGTGAGTTCCAGGACAGCCAGGGAGAGAAACACTGTCTCAAAAACTACCCTTTTATTCCTGTTGCTTTTAGTTGTGTGCCACAAAAAACCAGCAGGGGAGGTGTACAGGCTTGGTTTTTATTTTGTTTCTGAGACAAGACTTCATGTAGTCCAGGCTGTCCTAGAACTATTTAATGGAGGATGAAAACTTGCTAGTTAATGGAGGATGGCCCTAGAATTCCCGGTCTTCCTGATTCCACTTCAGAGTGCAGGAATTACAGGCTCATGAGGTCTCTTTCATTTCAGATCCAAAGCTTTAAATCAGCATACTAAAAACTGAGTAAGATCCTCCTCCTACTCTAAAGCCACCCAATCTTCTAAATCTCACTAAATCCAACAAGCTAACATCTCACCTTCTTGTGAAAATAAAGTCTTCACTATATTCTGCTACTTGAAAGTCACTTGTTTATTTATTTAGCACCTACTAGGTTATACAAAACACAGTATCTGGCATAAATCAAAGCTCTTCTTTCAAGTGCAGCAAAAACATGAAGAAGGGCACACATTGCCCAGGTGAAACCACTGTTCTTTTAAAAGGTACAGCACACCGACACAAGTGCTCAAGTGCTTACCTGCATCAGCTCTGGACCGCTGGCCAGGTGTCTTCCCGAATGGGGTCTTCATTCATCTGTATCTATGTGAGCAGCAGAGCTGCTGGACTAGGGTGAAAATCCAATGTTCTCAGCTATGAGGCTGCCCACAGGTCAGTGTTCTTGCTAATCCACCATCCAGGTGTCTCCTTTACAAGTTCAGCAAAAACAAATGGAATCCCAAGCACTCTGTAAAATGAGCATCAAGACAGCAAAACGCCTAGTGAGCCTCTAAATGTAACAGGAAATGTAAACACAATTCTCAACTAAAGGCACTGGTCCCAGCAAAGGTCACACCTGACAGTGAGAAGGGGAAGCGAAGACAGGTCAGACCCAGTGGGGAGAAGAGGCTGTGCAGAGACTTCAGAGCCCTGTCCTACATAAAACACCTTGCTGCTACGCCCTAGGGTAGGTGACCACCAGGATTTAGTGGGGCACACCTTTTTTTTTTTTCTAGGAGAGGTGATCACGGTACAGGCCACTCAGGGAAGGGAGATGCATCTTGGGAAAAAGATAACGTAACTTTTTGTTTTTCCCTTTCTGCTCCTAACCTCTCATAAAGATCCACTAAACCCAAGAGAACTCCCAAAGAAACGTTCCCACCCATGCAGATGCTAAATTGTTTCACGAAATCTGGTTTCAGGGACTTTAAAGTCCAGTGAGTAAACATTTCCATATATACATTTCCCAATCAGACACTGTTCCAAGTGCTCCTGTGGCCAGTCTTGTATGTTACTTGTAACTGCTAAATAAACAATTTCAGAGTTCTGTGCACCACCACCACTCCATCATTTTTTAACCATCTGTCCCTATTCAGTCTCTAGCTGAGATTACAAGGAGTGTCCATCCCAATCCACATGGTCCTCTCTACTGTGTTCAGTTTTCCCCAACCTTCCTGCCCCTGGTCCAGCTCCCTTTCTGGGGTGCTTAATGCAAGCACTAAACATGAAAGCAAAATGTGCAAGCTCTTATCCTCAATTCTCTTGTAACCTGAGTAGCATTCAGCACTGCTAGTCACAACCCAGCACACAGGCTTGACGCTTGCACTACAAAGGACTTCCTATCACTCCTAAGTGACTGCCATGCAGAGCCCCTTGCTACTCTAACACTAAGCCCTCCAGGCTCAGTCCTGTTATTGGTTCAACCAATTCTAACCTTCCTCTACATGAATTTCATCACTAGAGCATCCACAGCATATAATAAACATGATGCAGTGAATCAGAACTTTAAAAGCCAACCCCTGGGGCTGGAAAGATGGTAGAAGAGCCAGGCTTAGTTCCCAGCACCAACTTGGAGGCTCCAATGCAGAAGCTACAATCCCAAGGGATTCTGACACTCTTCTGACCTTGGGACCAGGTAGACACATGGTCCATACACAGGAAAGCAAAGCACTCATTACACATGAAACAAAAGCACATCTTTTTTGTTTGATACAGTCTCACTATATAAACAGCCCTTGCTGGCCTCAAACTCAGAAATACATCAGCCTCTGCCTCCCAAGGGCTGGGATTAAAGATTTGTACCACCACACCTAGCTAAAACTAAATCTTAAACTTAATAATGATGATAATAATAATAATAATAATAATGTAGCCATAACTCCTCTGCATTTATTTATAAAACCACCTCAAAAAATTAAGAAAAACTTTAACTTGTATAAATATCAATGCTCTGGAAGTTCTAGGTTACTAATGCTCTGAAGTGTGTGTTCTTCTTACTAGGTTTCAGCTATCATGGCAACATTTTCTGTTGCTATTTTGAAGTTGGATTTAACAAACCTTTAAGAGAAACTGAGGTCCTGCAAACACGGGTCGTCTGTTTTCTGCTGTCATGTGTGTATATACACATCATTTATGAGCATGCAGTACAGGGGTGCAGAAATCTGCGAGCAGCCTGGGGTGGCCATCAGTCTTCATCCTGCCCTGTCTGTCTTTCTTCAGCTGTGTCTGACCCCATGAGCTGCCAGGGATTCTCCTATCCCTATCTTTCCACAGGACTGCTGGCATTAGATACTCATGCTATGTCTGGTTTACATGGCAAGTACTTTTTACCACTGAGCCATCTATCTCCCCAGCTCTACGAAGGGACTTTTGGAACAAAATAATGTGCAGTAAAGTTCCTAGAAAAAAAGCCACACCTACTGCTGACTAATCAGAACTTCATGATGGTGGGATGAGCCAAAATGAGACAAAATGTTCTGTCTTGGCCAAGCTTTAGTCCCTTTACAGACCATTAATTGTCCACCTAAGTGTCTGACCTAACTTCCTCTATGGAAGGTACAGAATGTCTTCATATAGTATCCGAAACTTGTAACAGATTACCCATCTTTGCTATAGCTTGCCTATCTGATATTTCATCAATATACTTGAAATGTCTTGCCTTATGATTTTTTTTGTTCCCAAACCATAAAAATTCCGTGAAACTGTTTCCACATTAACACATGGCAATCAGAATAGTCTGAATCTTTTTTCATCGGCCAGCCACAAGAATTAACATGTTCCTTTTGAGGTGAGAGTTGTGTTTCCTATTGGTAACAATGCAACACTCCTTCTATCTTCCTGAGTGACAATCAGTAAATACAGTTTAGGCTCATCCCAACTCTTGTTTAAAACCATCAAGAAATGCAGTCTCCTCCCCAAAACACTGAGTGGAGCTGCTGAGCCCTGTTCATGTCTCAAGAGATGCCACAGAGTGCTTTGAAAAATCAGATAAAGAGCAGCATTCTGAAAATAGAACTGCTCTTTTGACTGAACTAATTTAATTCATTCAAGTTTTCTAGGGACACAGATCATCTTTAAGTTATTTTATTATGCAGTTAGTTTAGTAAGGAAAAAAATGAAACAAATGTCGTCCTTTCTAGGATAGCAGACACTACACTGGCCTCCTCTCCTACCCTAGTGCTACAGGAAAGTCATCAAGTGGAGTTTACTGGCAAGTCACTAAAAAGGATCAGGGGCCTGGAGAGATGGGTCAGTGATCAAAAGCACGGCCTACTCTTCCTGGGTTAAATAAATTAACAGCACCCACATCACAAATAGTTCATAGCCATCTGTAACTCCAGTTCCAGGGTATCTGACACTCTCTTACGACTCCTCCGGGTATGGTGAAAATACATTTACAAAAGCAAAACACTCACACATATATTTAACAACAACAACAGGTAAGAAATGGGAACAGACAATGGAAAGGTTCTTAAGTTCTACTAACATCCTCTTTCCCTATACATCAACCAGAGCCAGAGCCCTGGCTATGGTGAGAGCACACTCAGGAAATCATAGGAAGTACTCACAGTTGACTCTTGATGACCCGAGACTCAAAACATGCACAAGGGTACAGTGAATATGACAAATTAATATTCATCAACACTCAAAACTTTTCATAGTAATACAGAGTTGGGGAAGATTCTATCTCTTCCTGAAGTCTATCTTTGTTGACTGACGCTAATTACCCAACCTGGTTACTGATCTTTAATTTATCTCTCAAGAGGTTAATTTCCAAACAAGATTATCCTTCAATAATGATCCTAAAGACCATTTATAAGATGCTGAAGTGACTTATAAAAATGCGCTGCACTGAGTGGGCACAGCATGGCAAACACAACTGGCTGTATGTGCTTTCCATGGACTCTTTCATGCCTTCCACACAGCATGCTGCAGAAACCACACCTGTATCACCCTGGAAGCATCACCCTGGAAACTGAAAAGGCCAGCAGAATATAATAATCTGATCAAGGTCACTGACCTTGCTGAAATAAATGCTTTACTGTAAACAAACACACACATAAACAGGCATGGTAGAGCGTGCCTGTGACCTGGCACTGAATGTGCTGAGGCAGGAAAAAAAGAGTCCTCAGGGCAAGCCTGAACTACAATGATACTGTGGGTGGGGTAGGCACACCTAAATCAGTGACAATGTTGTACCATGGAGGGTATGAAATGGGTATTTCAATTTTTCAGATATCAAGCAGGATGGTTTGTGCCAACCTATAATCTGAGCACTTAAGAGGGTAAGGCAGGAAGATCTCAAGTATCAGGCCAACCAGAGTCTAAAGCCAGCTGCTATCACCAACACTGTTTAAATAAGAAGAAATTTGATAATTGCTGAAGCAAAATCTTAACACCAGATCCACTTGTGCATAATATATACACAGGAGAACTAACAACCAAAAACACATGTCAATGGTAACTGCCAAGATGAGAAGTTTAGAACTTCCAACCTGTAGCCCAAACCTCCAGAGAGGGGAAAGGGGGCTGCAGACTCAACCACCAATGAATGGCCAACAGTGTACACAATCCTGCCGAGGCAAAACTCGGCTATCATTTTAGAGTTTCCATGTAGATGAGAACAGAGGTAGGTATCCCAGGAGGTCTTTGTAATAAACCAAAAATATAGCAAATACACACCTTTCCTGAGGTCCAAGCTAATGTAACAAATCGTTAAACTTAATAAGGTACAGCCTATGGGTTAAAAACAAAGATGACAACCGAGACTCACAACTTGGTGTGAAGTGTTTGTGTGTCTCCAGGATTTGATACAACTCCATGTTGACAGTGTCAGAACTAACTAAAACTGTAAAACCAACAACCAACAGTCAGTGTCCACGAGAACTTGTAGGTTTGAAGAAAAAGCCCACTTTCAGTGACAGAGAAAAATAACCTTTCTTTCCCTAGCTTTGTGGGAGGAATATACATTATCAAACACATGAATCTGGCTTAAATCTGAATTCGAGATCTACTAAGTGAAGAGTCATTTTCTTAGGCATAGTACTCATTTACGAAGAACAGCATGTTTGTCTTAAAAGTTCCATGACATCTGCAATCTAAGACAACTTTCAATATCTCTGATGATGGAAGGTAAACCTACACAGTCAACAAAATCTTGATGAAGAGAGAACCTATCCACTTGGACCACACGGATAGTCATTTCAACTCCTCCCTGTGCACAGTGCCAGGCCAGTCAAGGATACAGACCCTACCTTAAAAACAAAACCAACAGACACTAGTAGGAACCACCTGCTGTTACTGTTTAAAGTTGCAAAAGCCTGGTGAGAATGAACCTAATGTCTTCTAACAGTGATGGTGTCAGCTCTCGTCAGTTGCTTCATGAAGTGGACTACAGTTACCCCAGAGACCATAACCATCAAAGTGCTGGGAACAAGCATGCCAATGCTCACCCTAAAAAGAACACCT